GGGGGGGGGGGGGGGGGTAGTGAGGGCGCGCGCCATGGCGGCGAGGACGCCGGTCATGGCTTGCTCGAGCGAGGCGTGCTTCTCGGTCATGTAGCCCCACGCGAGGGCGACGCACCCTCCCGAGCAGCCAGAGAGGGTCGTCATCACGCAGAGGCGGCCGAGCTGGAAGTTGACGTAGCAAGCGGAGCCGCCGATGAAGGGGATGAAGCCGAGCCAGAGGATGAAGAGGCCGAGGCACATCATCGGCACGTTGTGCTGCGCCAGCTCGACCGGCTTGAAGTTGACCGTCACGAGCGACTTAGACGTCCCCTCCACGAATCGGCCGATCCGAGGCCCGAGTGCCTTTGCACCCATCCAGGCGGCGCAGCCGGAGAGGGCGTGGACGGCGTTGCCGCCCGCGTAGTCGCAGATGCCCCACGAGTTGATGAAGCCTGAGGGGGTCGGCGGGGCCGGTACGTGGTGTCAGCGGGGGTCTGATCCGTGCTGTCTTCGGACTTGGCTTGGGAAATGCACCGTTCGGGTCCCACGTCCAGTGCGCGGCGAACGGATAGATGAAGCCGGTGAGGAAGAAGGAGTAGATGAGGTATCCTAAGGTGGGAGGGGGGGGGGGGGTAGGGAGGTTAGGGTCCCGGGATGCGGCGCGGTCGCTGAAGGTGTGAGAGACGACGACCTCCTCGTGCGTGTGTGGTGGTGGGAGGGGGCGAGAGCGCACCGCGGAACTGGATCCTCTCGGCGACCGCGCCCGAGACGATGGTCGCGATGGTGGCGGCGAAGACGTATTGGAAGAGGAAGATGTAGTACTCGTCCTCCTCGACGTCGATGAGCATCCAGTAGTTTGACGTGGTGCGGAACCAGCCGCCGGTGTCCATCCCCACGTCGACGCCAAACCAGATGCCGTCGTGGCCCTCCGTGGATTTGAAGAGCCCCCCGCCGGAGAACGCGTTGCCGTCTATGCCGTCGGGCCGGGAGGCCCCGCCGTAGCAGATGGCGTAGCCGAAGCAGTAGTAGACGAGCCCGCCGAT